CATCAATAATGAGACTACACACCTTTTCTCTCAAGGTCCACTTGATATGAAAGTTATACCTCAAGCACGATTGCTTCTTCTGGGGTTTTGTCTGCAGCATCCTACTCACAACAAGCATGTCACCCTCATCTCCCTGGAGGTACTCCTCATCCCCTTCCTTATTGCATCCTGGCCGCTCACTCCTCCACGACGCCCTGCTCGTGAAGGACACAGCTCGTCTCATCGGGCACTTGGAGGCGATATCTCCATACCCATTACATATGAAGCACTTCCTGACTAGAACGGTACCGGGTGTGCTAATCTTCTCAGGCTTATTCCCACTCTGATCCGCTTTATCATTACCTTGCTCAGTCTTCCCAACTCTTCCACGCATGTTTCTACTAATGCTTCCAGCCCTATGAGCTGTAGGGATTGTTTGAATATGGCTGGGTATTTGTTCTGATTCTATTGTGTCTTCACCATCAGTATTGAAGTCTGCATGTCTCTCAGTGTCTGATAGGTTTGTAGCTTGATCGAATTATTGATGGTAGACTTCAGGTCTCCCAGGTATTTGGTATTGTATGCTCCTCTGTCTCCGTCGGTTCACATTTCAAATTAAGCTGCATAAATTCTACTGTATACTCCACTGATAATTTATTTCGCTGCAGATAGTAGAGCTTCAAGAACATATCCTAACGGTAGTGTGGGGGCAGGTACTGTCGCTACATCATCTTCATTTTATCTCAAGCAGTGATTTTGTCCCATTATTCTCTCGTTATTTCTCTCTTTAAATTCTTCTGACACAAAGAGTCATTCTTCTTCAGCTTGATGGCGGTGAGCTTCAATCTTTGTCATCAAGCATCTCCTACATTCAAAGATCCCTCAACTGCCTACATTCACTTGAGGAAATCATCTGGATTCATTCTCACCTTGAAGTCGGTAGATCCACTTTTACTCCCAGATCTTTGTGTCGTCCAACATATACTTCCTTTCTTAGCCTCCTCTGATATTGAATCCCAAAATGCCTTGGCCGATCTCCCCTCTTTGTTGAATCCATCCCTACAGAAAGGATTCATGTGTTCTTCTCACTCTCCATCTCAGAACTCTCTGTTATGGTCGATGGCATCCCCTCCTTATGTCTTTTCTTCAATGGCATTAAGTCATTGTAATACTTGGTGGAGTAGTTGTTGTATCTCTTCAATGGTAAACTTATGATTAGGATATGACAATTGCCTCTTCGGCGACATAATTATGTTTTCGATATGGGTAGGTGGAAGGCTGAGCGTAGGGTTTATATAGGGTAGAAAAATAAATTTTTTGGGTGAAGGTACAGTGAGTATTGGCGGATGCTAGAAACCCTAGGATAGGACTAGGGTTAGATTGACACGGATAGAAGTGATATCAATGTTAACCCAAATAACAATAAACAAATAATATTATTTTTAGAAAACAAGACACTAGGCAGTACATGGACACACTGAAAGGGAATAACAACAACAAAGACACAACAATCAAAACTAGCGTTGTATCGCGAAAGTGGTGGTCGGTGAAACACCTGTGATAGGCTAACAATAAGATGGGTGGATTAAATGAAACAATAGTTAGTGGTGGGGAAGGTGGGGTCGAAAGAGGTGGTCGACGACTGGGTTGACAAAGAGGAGGTCTGAACTGTGGGGTGCAACGTAGGGAGGGAAAGGGCTATAGATAGTAGGTCGGAGGCATGGACTCAGACACCTGACTGTGAGCGGACAACAAAGAAAAGGCTAGAAAAGGGGTGAAGGGATGGCGGGAAGGGCGGCTAAGCTGGAGAGGGGAAGGTTGTTGTAGAGGTAAAGTTGCGACGAGCAGGGAACAAGAGATACATACAACCATAGGACGGGTTACAGTTTGAGCACCTTCTCGCCTTCGGATACAACCCTAAGAGAGATAATTGGAAATGCTTGAAATAAAACAAAACAAAAATAAAAACCTAAGAAAAGGAAACACTGTATAAGACCTAGATAATTAGGATTGGATCCTCCTATGCGAACAAGGTGTCGTAACGTGGTAGAAGGGCAGATCAGCCCTCCCAAGTTTAGACCGGTTCGGTCCAGCCAAAGGAAGCATGGAGTATTTCCCACGTCTCCTCTTTTATGCCCGCATCATAAAATTATTTAGTTAATCAAACTTCATATGCAACAGGATATTTGTTCATATAGAGGAATATTGTAAAAAGTTTAGGAGAGTCTTAAAATTTATTGAATATATATAAAATATTATCATGGAAAAGAAATATACTTTCAAAAAATCATAAAAATTGAATACTATTTAGGTTTATAATAATTATAAGAAAGCTACAAGTTTTGGAAAAAAGTATAACAAGTAAACCAAAAGTCTAAAGTCTATTGATTATAATATGCCTGATGCTAAATGACGGAGAAAAAAAAAACAGAAAGGCTAAGATAACGCAAGATCAAGGAATTTTGGTTAAATATTTTGATTAAAGATGAAAGCATAAAAATGATGGAATTAATACTTTTCAAAATCATTTAATGAGAGATTTGATGAATAACACATATTGAATGAGATATTTAATGAAGAAACTATTTTAAAATAACATAACATACAATATATTAACTATATAATATATTGATCCAAAAAAGATAAAGTGAAATTGGCTCTAAAAACTTGCATAAAAGTAAGAATTTTGGTCCATATCAGATACCTATTGAGATTAGAAGTATTATGAGGAAACTGCAATGATTTCTTTAATACATTTTGTTCAATTGAGTTTGTAGAATAAAAAAAAAAGATGAAAAATAATCAGTGAAGAAGCATTTTAATATCAATATTTAAAAGAAATTCGTTGTTCAAATTTTCGTATACCATAAAAAGAATTGAATTTGAGTCATATAAAAAAGTTGTTGGAGCAAGTGATGTAACACAACTTTAAAAAAATTATATTTATTTTAGAGAATCAATTTGGTTTCATGTTAGAAAGATTACCATGAAAGTGACTGCTGTGTAAGACAATTAGTGGAGAATTATTTGGCACATGAAAAGATTTTTATATAATTTATATTAATCTAGAGAAGACATTTAATTGAGTAATATAAACGAATTTTGTGCGTTTCAAGGAAGGAAAGAGTGTCAATGAACTGTTAATGCTATCAAATACATGAATGATAGATCACTGATAGAATTAAAAATAGTTGTGGAGTGCCCTAAGTTTTCTAATTATTGAAGGTTTACATTAAGGAACAACATTGAGTTTATGCTTTCTTTTATTGCTTATGAAGAGACTCACGTTGGATTTTTAAAATCCGGTGCCTTTCTATGTACTATTTTTCAGATTTATAATTCAATATGTGAGATATTCACTAAAATAAGTGAAAAATTAGAGCATTAGAGGAAATGCTAAACAAATTGTGATCCTAGAATCAGTTGAAAAAAAAATTGAGTTATGTGCTATATAATTTTAGTAGGTATATTTATAATTGTAATGCAATATTATTAGAACATAACTTGATACTTATATATGATAAATTTGAGAATCTTAGTTCATTGAATCTGTTATATAGAGAAGTGAAGATATAAATGAAGATAAACTCTACAGTTTGGATGGTTAAACTGGAGTAGCATTCTTGGAGTTCGTATGATTAGGGGACATCATGAATGCTTAAAGAAAAGAGTTTTATAAAACCTCAGCAAATTTTATGAAGCTATATGGATCCAAATGTTGGATTATAAAATTATTGACATCTAAGCTGATTGTGACATAAATGAGAATATTAAGATGAATTTGTAACAACGAAGAAAAATAAAGTAAGGAATGTTTATATTAGGGAAAATATTGAAGTTAGACATTTTGAAGATAAAAGAATGAAAAAAGACTTAGGTGGTTCAGATCTGAGTGACAAAGTGTACAAAATGTGCCCATTGGACTAGTTTTTAAAATTTGTGTCCGAAAATTACGAAGAAAAAATGATAGACATAAGAAAATGATAGGAGTTGTTCAAAATGAATTACAAAGAACGTGTTTACCACCTTAGATAATGCTAATGAAAAATGAGGATTTATATTGCCATCATCAAATGATTGGAATAAGGTAATGTTGATGATATATGTATGTCTGTGTGTGTAAGATTAATTCCAAAAATATTCCCTCTATTTGTCATTTGTGGCTATTTTAGTTCGAGAGCATCATAGTTCTTCAATTTAATCTATCAACTATTCAAATTTGATCCAAAATTATTTTTGACGTAGAAATTAATATAAAAAATTGATCCTAATTAATCACTTCACTATACAATATTGAACCCATTTAGTCCTTAAGGGACCAACTATATTGGAGAAATGTTGTATGTATATAAATATATACATCTACATACATACATACATACATATATATATACATACATACATACATATATATATACATACATACATACATATATATATACATACATACATACATATATATATACATACATACATACATATATATATATATATA